GATCATGTGTGTGTGTATTGACGTTTATATACAGTGTATGTCTGTATGAATGTTGATCTGAGATTTGTATTACCTGGGAGACTCGTTGGCTGTGTTACCTGTGTGTTAGTGCTGTGTTACGTTACTTGGCTGTGTTACCTGTGTGTTAGAGCTGTGTTACGTTACTTGGCTGTGTTACCTGTGTGTTAGAGCTGTGTTACGTTACTTGGGTGTGTTACCTGTGTGTTAGAGCTGTGTTACGTTACTTGGCTGTGTTACCTGTGTGTTAGAGCTGTGTTACGTTACTTGGCTGTGTTATCTGTGTGTTAGAGCTGTGTTACGTTACTTGGCTGTGTTACCTGTGTGTGTTAGCTCAGGTGTGCAGGAAAATATATATATGTCATCTGAATGTAGCGTGGAATGTCGTCTGCGTCACCTTTAGAATGTCGCCTTCGTCACCTTTAGAATGTCGTCTTCGTCACAGCCATGAGTATAGTCACGCCTCGCCTCCGTTACCTGTGAGATACATGACTTGATTTCATCTACTGTAACATTCTTGGATGATCTGCTGTAATGTAACGTCTTCAATAGCTGTAACGTAACCTCTTCAACGCTGTAATATACTTAACTGATCTTGACTTGGTTAGTGTTAGGTTAGTGTTTGGTTAGGGTACGTTATATTAGTGTTAGGTTTGTGTTAAGTTAGGTTCGTGTTAATCTAGGTCAGGTAGCGGTGTTCGTGATTTGGTCCGTGCGTCCGTCCAAAACTTATTCGTCCGTGCATCCGTCCGTTCATAGATTAGCCCCCCTTGTGTTCCGTCCTAGAACATATTGACCAAACTGTACACCATGTGGGCTACAATGTGTGTCTCAGTAACCACACACACACACACACACACACACACACAGGGTTAAGCAGCAAGGGGACAGAGGCGAGGGACTGGAGAGTTTGCATCAGATTATCGATGTTAACTGTACCTTGTTTCTCCCCCTATGGCCGGGACTATAAGCCTCTCCCCTCGTCGATATTCCCAGCTTGTATTCTTTCCCCTTTATGCGATCTATAGTGCTATGGTGCCTCCACTATACTGGGTTTGTTTTGATTTTACCTATAGTGTTTGGTGGGTGGTGGATGAGTGGATACAGTGCTTGTCTGGTGTCTTAAGAGGTCGCTGGTTCAATCCCTGGGAGTTGGTGGGTGAGTGGATGAGTGGATAGGGTGCTTGGGTGGTGTCTTAAGAGGTCGCTGGTTCAATCCTTGGGAGTTGGTGGGTGAGTGGATGAGTGGATAGGGTGCTTGGGTGGTGTCTTAAGAGGTCGCTGGTTCAATCCCTGGGAGTTGGTGGGTGGTGGATGAGTGGATAGGGTGCTTGGGTGGTGTCTTAAGAGGTCGCTGGTTCAATCCCTGGGAGTTGGTGGGTGAGTGGATGAGTGGATAGGGTGCTTGGGTGGTGTCTTAAGAGGTCGCTGGTTCAATCCCTGGGAGTTGGTGGATGAGTGGATACAGTGCTTGTCTGGTGTCCTAAGGGTCGCTGGTTCAATCCCTGGGGCACTAGCAGCAGGAAACGAGCACCTGGACTTAATTGAAGTCATTGGAGTGTAGTGCCGGGTCAAAGCTGTTTCCTGGTACACCGAGAGGACTTAGTGTATAGTGTTGTCATCAAGCTCTCCCTAATGGGCTTCTGGAACCTACTTTGTTAATTTTCACCAGTATGTTTACCTGAGTTCTCGTCCAGTCCTCTCTTAACATTGGGGTCGGGGTTAGGTTAGGTTATGATGGGTCGGGGTTAGGTTAGGTCGGGGTTAGGTTAGGTTGATGTTAGGTTAGGTTGGGGTTAGGTTAGGTTGGTGTTAGGTTAGGTTGGGGTTAGGTTAGGTTGGTGTTAGGTTAGGTTGGTGAAATAAACTGAGGAGGATGGGAACTAATTTTTAGGTAATACAAATAAAATGAAAATAATGTGTGTGTGGGGGGGCGGTAATGGTGGGCGAGCCATTTAGAGAAGTAATGGAAGTGTGAGGATAACAGGCTGGCTAATGGACCATAACCTTCCTTCTCTTGCAACCAGATAAAAATTCATGGTAAATGTGATGTAGGCTGGAGATCGCACCTCTCCCCTCTCACCTCCCTCTCTCACCTCTCCCCTCTACCTTCCACTCCCCTCTACCCTCCCCTCTCCTCTATCCTCCCCCTCTATCCTCCCGGCCCTATAGCCTCCAGCACCCGCACCTACACCACCACCATCAACAACCACCACAACTAATGAACACACACACACACACACACACACACACACACCTCACACACACACACACACACACACACACACACACACACACACACACACACACACACTCACTCACTCACACACACACACACACACACACACACACACACACACACACACACACACACACACACACACACACACACACACACACACACACACACGACAGACGTAATCTCTCTATTTACTTCACGCTCAACTAGCCACCAAATGACTCTCTCTATTCAACAAACATAAATTAATGATAACGTCTGTTTTAATTCCGTGTTATCTTGTCTCTCTCGGTGGAACAACATGACAGTGACGTGATGTGTGGCAGTGACGTGATGTGGCAGTGACGTGATGTGACAGTGACATACATACACACACACACACACACAGAGAGAGAGAGAGAGAGAGAGAGAGAGAGAGAGAGAGAGAGAGAGAGAGAGAGAGAGAGAGAGAGTCAACGGTGTATTAGTCTTCAATGTCTACCTGTGTCTCAGCCATGATCCTGTTAGTACAATATGTATATCACTACTCAGGTATGTATATATGTATTGGGGTCTATGTATATGTTGACCAGACCACATATATTGTTGTATACATATGTGTGTGTGTTGATGTGTGCGAGTGCTTACATATCTCTCTCTCTCTCTCAGTTTACAGAGAGATATCTTAGACACAAGACTGAGAGAGTAATTGAGGGGTTTCACAGGTACTCCTCAGGTGTGTGTGTGTGTGTGTGTGTGTGTGTGTGTGTGTAGTAATATTTAGGAATAACTATTTAGCCTATGGCGTAACAAAACACCATCAACATTTATAAACCAACAAGAAGGTGATTATTAACTGGTTATAAGGGACGCTGGCGACACTACATTGAGAAATTAGCGGCCATTTTTTTTTTTCTTCTGATGTTTTGATGTAAGAGAGAGAGAGAGAGAGAGAGAGAGAGAGTGAGAGAGAGAGAGAGAGAGAGAGAGAGAGAGAGAGAGAGAGAGAGTAACAGGCCGTGTATGTGTTCTACCAGCCTGTATAATAACAACAAAATATAATTACTCTTAAGTACTGTCTCTGGCCCACCCTTGGCTAGTCCAGTCGTAATAAAACACACACACATAACTACCAATTATATAAACCAGTGTCGTTTAACTCAGCTCTAGGATAATAGTAGTCCCCACGTTAGGTAATCACTCAATAGCCTTTCACACACTGCACTGCCACACATAGCTCTCCAAAATTGTACCCTAAATAAAACTACACCAGGTTAATTAATGTACCTGTATGAGAGATATTACAGGTGTGTTCTGGGGGGTGAGTCGACGAGCTCTCATGGGTAACTCTCCTTCAGGTCTGTGGGTGTTTGAAGGGGATATTTTATTGTACTTCTCACCTGACATTACTTTACCTGTTGATTAGATGAGCCTATGTTACCTTGGGGGTTTGGTTAGCGTTAGATTAAGTTTGTTTAGTGTTAGGTTAGGATTGGTTAGGTTAGGTTAGTGTTAGGTTAAGTTTGGTAAGGTTAGTGTTAGGTTAAGTTAACATTAGTGTGATTAATCTTGAGGTAAACTATCTTCCTCCGGTAATGTTTGGTCGTAATTAAGACTCGTAGTTAGACTCTCTCTCTGGCGTTTAACCTTGGGTCACTAAACGTCTGGCACAAAGCAGCGTCAGTGTGAGCAGTTAGTATCGCCTGGCGTTTCTGTAACCTGTGCTATCTTGTGTTATTCTGGGGTGTAGGGGGGAGGAGAAGGAGGGGGTGTGGGTGTGGGGAGAGGGAGGGTGGGCGGGTGGGAGGGAGGGGGGTGAGGAGGGCTGAGGGGGAGAAGGAGGGGAGGAGGACTGGTGGGTGGGGAAGGGTGAGAGAGAGGGGGAGAAGGGTGTAGAGGGAGGGGTGAGGGGCGGGGAGAAGAGGGGTGAGGGGCGGGGAGAAGAACATAACTGATCTATATATAAAGTTATTTCATGGATGGTGATTATATTTCCTCCCTAGTTAAAGTTGGCGCTGGAGAGAGAGGGAGGAGGGGGGAGGGAGGGGGTAGGGGGGGAGAGGGAAAGATAGACAGAGTAGGGATGGAGTGGATAGGTAGGAGGGAGGAGGAAGAAGGAGAGAGGTAGTGGGTGGACAAAGAGAGAGAGAGAGAGTACATAGGAGGAGGACTCACACCGGCTCCTTCCTGTGATTGTTCATTCCCCTTTCGCTGCTTCTCTTCTCTTTCATATTTATCAACCTCGTTTTCTCATTTTCTATTGATTCTCTCTCTCCCTATCTCTTCCCCCCCCTCTCTCTCTCTCTCTCTCTTTTTCTCTACTTTCTTTCTCTCTCTTTTCTGTGTGTGTGTCTTGATGGTAAGGATAAAGAGATCAGTAGCCTCCTCCTCCTCCACCTCCTCCTCCTCCCTCCTCCTCCTCCTCCTCTCTTCCACCTCCTAATCTTTCTCCCTCCTCCTCTCCCTCTCTTCCACCTCCCAATCTTCTCCCCTCCCTCCTTCACTACATCAGGTAGGAGCTATTCCAAGACTATTACCAGGAACTAATAAAGGAGAAAAGAAGGAGGAAGAAGAGAGGAGAAGAAAAAAGAAGAGGAGGGAGAAGAAGAGAAAAGAAAAACACAAAGAAGAAAGCAGAAGTAAGAAGCAACAGCAGGAGGGAGAGGCAGGAGGGGGAGAGGCAGGAGGGAGGCAGGAGGCAGGAGGGAGTGGGTCTAAACAAGTCTCGTTCATCAATTATTGGCATATTTGACGTTTTCAGGGGTCAACAACACACTGGGGGCTGTCTGGGTACTGTCTGGGTACTGGGGTAGGTCTGGTACTGGGGTGGGTCTGGGTACTGGGTAGGTCTGGGTAGGGTAGGTCTGGGTACTGGGGTGGGTCTGGGTACTGGGGTGGGTCTGGGTACTGGGGTGGGTCTGGGTACTGGGGTGGGTCTGGGTACTGGGGTAGGTCTGGGTACTGGGGTGGGTCTGGGTACTGGGGTGGGTCTGGGTACCAGGGGTAGGTCTGGGTACTGGGGTGGGTCTGAGTACTGGGGTGGGTCTGGGTACTGGGGTGGTCTGGGTACTGGGGTGGGTCTGGGTACTGGGGTGGAGTCTGGGTACTGGGGTGGGTCTGGGTACTGGGGTAGGTCTGGAGTGTACTGGGGTAGGTCTGGGTACTGGGGTGGTCTGGTGCTGGGTGGGTCTGGGTACTGGGGTGGGTCTAGTACTGGGGTGGGTCTGGGTACTGGGGAGGGTCTGGGTACTGGGGTGGGTCTGGACTGGGGTAGGTCTGGGTACTGGGGTGGGTCTGGGTACTGGGGTGGGTCTGGGTACTGGGGTGGGTCTGGGTACTGGGGTGGGTCTGGGTACTGGGGTGGGTCTGGGTACTGAGGTGGGTCTGGGTACTGGGGTAGGTCTGGGTACTGGGGTGGGTCTGGGTACTGGGGTGGGTCTGGGTACTGTCAGGGGGGTAATTGTGGGTCAGACAGACAGACAGAGACGGTGTGTGTGTGTCTGTATGAACGTGTTTCTGAAGAGGCCCATGTGTTCATCCACCACCTCCTCCTCTTCCACCTCTTCACCACCTCCTCCTCCTCCTCCTCCTCCTCCTCCTCCTCTTCCACCTCCTCCTCCTGTTCAGACATGTACCCTCCCCCCCTCGCCACCCCACACCCCACCCACATACCTGGCCTACCTGAAGCTGTCTAAATCACCTGTATCACAACAAGGCCCCACACAGACTCTCACTTCACATGATCCACCACACACTCGAGGCTAAATTACACTTGTACTCTAACTAGATGCACTTATCTTTTCTCCCCTCGATTATGGAGAAATGCCTTGAGGGTTTCTGTTTGAGTGTGTCCGTCGTAATAGGTCTCTCTCTCTCTCTCTCTCTCTCTCTCTCTCTCTCTCTCTCTCTCTCTCTCTCTCTCTCTCTCTCTCTCTCTCTCTCTCTCTCTCTCTCTCTCTCTCCTTAACAGGAGATAGAGAGAGAAGAAGAATATCAGGGTTCTAGTATAGTCTGTGTGATTTAGGCACCATTATTATGACCTTCTCATTGGGTGGGTGTGTGTATAGTGGGGGCCCTGTCTGTCTGTCTGTCTGTCTGTCTGAGGAAGGACGTCTTGAGCTTCTTGTTGCGTCGTGTTTTGGAGGAGGAGGTCATAGCCCCTTCCCCCCTCCCCCTCCCCCCAACACCCCCTCCCCCAACCCCCTCCCCCAACACCCCCTCCCCAACACCCCCTCCCCCAACACCCCCCTCCCCAACACCCCCTCCCCCAACACCCCCCTCCCCACCCCCCTCCCCAACACCCCCCTCCCCAACACCTCCCCCAACACCCCTCCCCCCAACACCCCCTCCCCCAACACCCCCCTCCCCCCAACACCCCCCTCCCCCAACCTCCCTCCCCAACACCCCCCTCCTCCCAACACCCCCCTCCCCCCAACACCCCCCTCCCCCAACACCCCCTCCCCAACACCCCTCCCCCACCCCCCTCCCCCCCCCCCAACCCCTCCTCCCCCAACACCTCCTCCCCCAACACCCCCTCCCCCAACACCCCCTCCCCCAACACCCCCTCCCCCCAACACCATCACTATCTCCTTTGTGTTAAGAGGAAGTGAATTCCTGTGTTAGGGAATATTGTTGTCTTTCATTCCTTCTCTCCCTCCCTCATCATCACTCCTCCTCCTCCTCCCCTCCCTCCCTCCCTCCCCTCACCTCCTCCTCCCTCCTCCTCCCTTCCCTCCCTCCCTCACCCTCCCTCACCATCACCCTCCTCCTCCCTCCTCCCTCCCCACCATCACTCCTCCTCCTCCTCCCTCCTCCTCCTCCCTCCTCCTCCTCCTCCCTCCCTCCTCACCACCTCCTCCTCCCTCCTCCTCCTCCCCTCACCATCCTTCTCCTCCTCCTCACCATCACTCCCTCCCTCCCTCACCATCACCCTCCCTCCTCCTCCCTCCTCCCTCACCTCCTCCCTCCTCACCACCTCCCTCCTCCCTCCTCCCTCACCATCACTCCTCCTCCTCCCTCCCTCCCTCCCTCCCTCCTCCTCACCATCACCTCACCTCCCTCCTCACCTCACCTCCTCCTCACCCTCACCTCTCCCTCACCTCACTTCCTCCTCACCTCACCTCACCATCACCTCCTCACTCCCTCCTCACCTCACTCCTCCCTCCCTCACCCATCTCTCCTGCTGTTAGTATAAATGTTGGAATGTTTTGACTGTGGTATTTCCCTGATGTTTACATGTGATTGGTATGGTAGGGCCGTCTGAGGTGATGCTGGTGTTGGGGCAGGTGATGATGGTGTGTGGTGAGGTGTGTGTGTTGGTGGTGTGGTGTTGGTGGTGTGGTGGTGAAGTTTGTGGTGGTGGTGGTGTGGTGGTGGTGATATGTGGTGGTGGTGGTGTGTGGTGGTGAGGTGGGGTAGGGAGGTGTGTGGTGATGGTGGTGTGGTGGTGGTGATATGTGGTGGTGAGGTGTGTGGTGATGGTGGTGTGGTGGTGGTGATATGTGTGGTGGTGGTGGTGGTGGTGATAGTGTGGGCATGGTGTGTGGGAGTGGTGGTGTGGTGGTGGTGAGGTGTGTGGTGATGAGGTGATGATGGTGTGGTGGTGGTGATATGGTGGTGAGGTGTGTGGTGATGGTGGTGTGGTGGTGGTGATATGTGTGTGTGGTGGTGGTGGTGGTGATATGTGGGCTGGTGTGTGGGAGTGGTGGTGGTGGTGGTGGTGGTGGTGAAGATCCGGGTCGCACAGTCTAGGGAACTACATAGTGAGAGAGCAGATCCCACACACACACACACACACACAGATAGGGTGATATCTCGTAGGTGTTCTGAAGGTGGGGCTGAGCTACTGAAGGAGGGGTTACCTACCTTACCTGTCAGTGCTCGTTGTGTCTTGCTGTGTGAGGTGTGGACAGGTAGAGTCATTCTTAGCTTCAGTTGGGTTATATCTCGTCATTGTTCCTGTATGTGTGTGTGGTGATAGTGGTGGTGATGGTGATAGTGATGATAGCAGTGATAGTGATGATGATGATGGTGGTGATGGTGACAATGGTGGTGATGGTGATAGTGATGATAGCAGTGATAGTGATGATGATGATGGTGTGATGGTGATGATAGTGGCCTGGTGTCCATCGTACCTCAGGAAATACTCAACGTACCTACAGCACACTTAAGCTTTCTAGTAACGGCGAACAGGTCAGGGCTTGGATCTGAGGTGGGACGTGTCTTAATCTCCCTCACTACCCCCACCCTCCTCCCTCACTACCTCCTCACCTCCTCCTCACTACCTCCTCACCTCCTCACCTCCTCCTCCCCTCACTACCTCCTCACTACCTCCTCACCCTCCTCCCTCACGCATACCAAGGAGTAACTCTTAGTTTTACCTCACCCACGTGAAGATTAGACACCCTCACCTAACCTAAATAACAAATTAAATTATTGTCAACTTGTATGCCGGGGATGACGACACACACACACACATACACACACACACACACACACACACACACACACACACACACACACACACACACACACACGATGAGATCACGACAATAACAAGAGATTCTGTAGGTCTTAGATTCCAACTGAGGGAGGGAGGAGAGTGGATAGGTGGGGAGGGAGGGTGGATAGGGGAGGGAGGTGGGTGGATGGTTGGCTGGGTGGGAGAGTGGAGGGAAGTGGGTGGAATTTCAAGTATGTCTCTCTGTCTGTGTGTGTAGGTCAGTGTTCAAGGCCTTACCTCCACATTACCACCTGAGATGTGTTATAATTCTACCATATTCTGACGGTGTTGGGGGTGCGTCCACTAGCTATCCGTCCATCCACCTGTCTATCCGTCCATCCACCTGTCTATCCATCCGTCCATCTGTCTATATATCTATCCGTCCATCCATCCATCCATCCATCTCAAGTTCTATAATGGCCTCACATCAGCCCCCTAGACTCGACCGGAAGTACACCTGGTCAGCCAAGGTAGATAATTAAGGTCAACTCGGATCTAGGTCAAGGTGATTCTCTTTGGCGGTGGTCATTAAATTTAGTTATTAAATTTGGCGAGTCATTAAATTTCGCGAGTCATTAAATTTCGCGACAACCTCGTAAATGTGACTCGTAATTACTGTCACGTGTGAACCTAACGACCGTGTGTGTGTGTGTGTATGTATGTATGAATGTAGATGATCCCCGCTGGCCACCATTGTGTATTGAGGTCGTGTGTTATTAACTTGCGGTATAAAACACACACACACACACACACACACACACACTCACACACACTCACACACACACAGAGCCGACCATGACAAGCTCTGCATAATTTAATTCTTGTCATGTGTCTGTGTAAAGCCTTCAATAGTGGTTAGGACGATGCTGTGTGTGTGTGTGTGATTCTGTAAAGGCGTGTATGTGTGTCTGTTTTGCTGTGTATGTGTTTTATGATGTTTATGTACGTGTTGCTGTGTGTGTTTATGTGCGTGGTTTTTATGCTATGTATGTACGTTACTGTGTTCGTGTGTGTGTGTGTTTATATATATATATATATATATATATATATATATATATATATATATATATATATATATATATATATATATATATATATATATGTGTGTGTGTGTGTTTAATGTCGTGTACGTGTAGTGCTGTATGTAATGGTGTTCGCTGTGATGGTATAATGGTGTTTTATGTTGCATCACAATATTTCCAAAATCTATGGTATTGTGTTATGGTGCTATGATGCCTCACTATGGTGTTGATGTGGCACTATGGCGTAAACTATACCCACCTAGTGTGGCATAATCGCCTTGGGTATAGTGGCACGGGCATATAATCACCATAGTCTCACATATTGGTACAGTATAGTAGCACTTGTTTGAGAATTTTAATGGCGCAGTGGGTTTTTTTTTTGCTGTGTAATATTGAATAGTTAGTGGTCTGGCATGGAGGCGTGACATAGTGGCGTGATATTGGTTTAAATTATAGACTAACGGGATGGAAAGGTGTGGTGTATTATGGTGTAATGTGGTGATAATGGTGCAGAGATTGGTGGAGTCGTCGTGATAAATGTATAAATTTAATGGGTATAATGGGGGTGATAATGGTGTAAAAAGGTAATGGAGTGGAAAGGATGGGGTGGTGGGTGAGGAGGAGAGGGGTGGGGGTCATGTAATTAATGGCGTAAGTAAATTAATCTTGTAATGAATAACACAATGGCGTGATAATGATGTTGAATTTAATGGGGGTCAGGTGTTATGGTGCTCATATTGTGTCTAAAGGTGTGATGTAATTTAACACCAAGACAGGGCCAGGTGTTAGGGTGTGTTAAGTACTATACGCAGGTGTTAGGGTGTGTTAAGTACTGTACGCAGGTGTTAGGGTGTGTTAAGTACTGTACGCAGGTGTTAGGGTGTGTTAAGTACTGTACGCAGGTGTTAGGGTGTGTTAAGTACTGTACGCAGGTGTTAGGGTGTGTTAAGTACTGTACGCAGGTGTTAGGGTGTGTTAAGTACTGTACGCAGGTGTTAGGGTGTGTTGAGGATAACAAGGGACAGACAGACAGACAGACAGACAGACAGACAGACAGAGACAGACAGACAGACAGACAGACCGAACGAAAAGACAGACGAAGACAGACAGACAGACAGACGAGCAGACAGACAGACAGACAGAGAGACAGACTGACAGACAGACAGACAGACAGAGAGACAGACAGACAGACAGACAGAGTATGTACTGTATATATTAATTACATATAAAAACACCATCCTCATTGCTTTCATTACCTATACACACGAGAGAGAAGCTAATTTATTTACAATCTATTCCACCTTTTGTGTTTTATATACCAGGTTTTAATTCTGGTTTATTTTTTTTCATCGTTTCAGGTTGGTTTTACGTTGTGTTGCCGACGTGGGTTAAAACATTGCATACGGTAAGTTTTTTTTTTAGTAGGGTTTATTAATTGAAATGTATTTTAATCTGTATTCCTGGATTAAAGTTTGGTTCGTGTTTGTTCATATACAGGTGTGAACATTTTAAGGTATGTTCAGGTAAGGTAGTGTGTTCAAATGGACACAGTTGTTGTTGAACATTTGGGTTGAACGCTTCTGTATCTCACACTCTCACACACACACCTGTCGCAGTCTGGGTAATTAGTGTTGTCAGGTGTGAACTAATGAGGGGGTTGGTGGTGTGTGTGTGTGTGTGTGTGTGTGTGTGTGTGTGTGTGCCGTTAGTGGTCTACCTGTACTTACCTGGCGTCGCTGGAGGCGCCTCAGGTGTGTGCAGGTGAGGTTGTGGTCGTCTGACACACTGTCTCTCCTCCTCCCTCACACACATGGCCCCGCTTTCTATTGCCTGGCCTATATAATTTTTTATGGCTGTGTGTGTGTCTAAGAGAGTATTCAACAAGTTATTCCTTGTCATAATCCGTCGTGTTTATGTTTACAAAGCTTACCTAAGAACGTATTGATTGATTTGTTATTTCTTGATTCACCAAAGACAGAAGGGGGGGGTGACGTGTTGTGCCTTACCTGAGCGTCACCTGAGCGTGTGCTTTACCTGGTGACGTCGTGTGCCTTACCTGGTGTGTGGTTGGTGATTTGGAGTAATGTAATGATATTAATGTGGGGGGTGGGGGTGGACATAATGGGTGACCAATACTGAGCTGTGTTGTGGTGTCTTGATGGATGAGTGTGATTATGGTGAGGAGGGATGTCTCTTGATAATGGCACCTCTCCCCCCCCCTATTATCTCTCTCTCTCTCTCTCTCTCTCTCTAACCTTCAGAGTCATTTCCTGCAACACTTTACGTCAACCTGTGTGTTTATTAGTCAGGTGAGGCTCTGCAGTGGTGGGGAGGAGGAGGGTGTGTTGGCCTGGGCTTGTGTGTGTGTGTGTGTGTGGGAAGAGGGAGGAGGAGGGAGAGAAGAGAGAAGAGGGGAGGAGAGAAGGAGGAAGGGGAGGAGGAAGAGGAAGGGGAAGGAGGAGAGGAAAGGGGGGGGAGGAGGAGGAGGGGAGAGAAGGGAAGAGGAGAGGAGAGAGAAGGGAAAAGGGGAGGAGGAATGCTACAACACACTCAGCACAACCAATCGTCTACAACAAGTGTAAACAAAACAAGTGTGCCCAGAGTCGCTTTTTGTCCAACAAAGTAAACTGTGTGTTGTACCCAGATAACCGACGATGTGTGTGTGTGTGTGTGTGTGTGTGTGTGTGTGTGTGTCTGTGTGTGTGTGTGTGTGTGTGTGTGTGTGTGTGTGTGTGTGTTGTTTCTTATCATGTTTGTGGTATTTCTACGTCAGTTCATGTGATAAGGTGTTGTTGTGGTAGTGAGAAGGTGCTGTGATGTGTTGTGGTGTGCTGTCAAGAGGTGCTGTGATGTGGTGTGCTGTCAAGAGGTGCTGTGATGTGTTGTGCTGTGCTGTGATAATCAATAGGTTAGGTGTTGTGTTATACTGTGTTGTGGTAGTCATAAGGTGTTGTGCTGTGTTGTCAAGAGGTGCTGGGCTGTGCTGGGCTGTGCTGTGATCAGTGGTGTAGCTCAGGGTTGCTGGTAGTGGAAGGCTTGGCGATAACTCAGCTTGTTTTACTTATTATCTCAGGGCTCCTCCTCCTCCTCCTCCTCCTCCTCCTCCTCCTCCTCCTCCTCCTCCTCCTCCTCCTCCTCCTCCTCCTCCCTCCTCCTCCTCCTCCTCCTTCTTCCCTCCTCCGCCTCCCTCTCTTCTTTCTTGTAACTCCTCCTCTTCTCCCTCTTCCACCTCCCTCCCTCCTCCTCCTCCTCCCTCCTCCTCCTCTCCCCCCTCCTCCCCCCCTCCTCCTCCTCTCCTCCTCCTCCTCCTCCTCCTCTCCCCTCCTCCCCCCCCCTCCTCCTCCTCCTCCTCCTCCCGGCGTTGCACACGGGTACACCTCATTGTCAACACAAAGAAG